ATAAGGATCCATCCGCACCTTTCCGTCATCTTTACATATACGTATATTACCCTTAAAGCGACTGTCACAGTCTCCTTGTCAGTGTGTGTTTATTTCTGTTGGATCAAAACAAATAGAACCCCTTTCACTGGCATTCTTGTCCCGTGGAGCGTGCGTTACCGGCCTGACCCCCGAACATTAATTACTTCTGCTTGAGTTGTTCACTTATGAACCGCGCGGGCAAATTAAACACGTGTGATCTTACCTGATCAGAGAGTGTGAAAAATACACAAACGAGACAAGATACCCACTTAGCAAAGGTTTGGGCTTCGCGGTCTATTTTTGAAATATTTCAGGTATGGTTTTTTTTATCGGCGTCCTTTTTTTTATTTATGATTTGATTTGATTTGATTTATTGAAATTGCAACAGTGTAATACACTTGGAACACGGGCAGCTGTTGCTGGTGTTGTGTCCCACACATAGAAACCTTTTATGTACTGGTATTTTTTCGCCAGCCAAATGCATTGGAGACTGTCCTGCCAATTATACTATCTTGCAGCCACCAAAAGAACACCAAGTTCACCCTATTTCCTGTGTCTGACCTTTTGAATTCCCGTTGACATTCTGCCTATCTATTTTCCTCCCACCCACATGCTGTCAACCTACTCTGTCCAGACAAGCAGACATACACATGCCACTTAAAACAATACTTCCTTACCCAATAATATATTATTACTCTTGCACTGACATAATGCGAACTGGCAGTTGCAGGACTATTGTGCTTCTTCCCCATTAATCAAAGTGAGCCGTCACAGTGAGAGATAAGCTGCCCTCACAAAACACACTATATCAGAATACCGCACATTTTCGTGCTTTTAGTGGGCTCAACATGCACTACATGATAACAGAGCACTGTAGAAAATTTACCGTAGTGTCATTAGGTGTCAGTCGGTGCAACGTGGGCAAGATACAGTACTAAGACGAAATAACGACGTTTTGGATATGCGATATACATATGCGCTTTTGTATGTTTAAGTCAACTGTACTATACTACAGAATCGTTTCAAACTGCCATCACCTAATATCTCCGAGCAGATCCCCTTCGGTGGCAAGACAGTATCCATTAGAAACTTTAGCAGTGGGGTTATGTCGCTGTATGAGGGAAATGTAGTCTCTACCATACTTTATAGGCGACTGGAAAGAGTAGAAAATAGTCAAAGAGAGAGGTCGCCGGCCACCGACGGGGGTAGCGACCAAAACTGGCCATGCATATATAAAAATCTAACGATCATTCCCCACAACCTCTGCTTGGAGAGTACCATCACCGCGAAAACCTAATTTTTCCCTAGTTCTATGGAGGAAAACATGTACTCAGACTCAGGCACCACCTGTTACCTGTCTCTTTGACTATTTTCTACTCTTTCCAGTCGCATATAAAGTATGGAAGAAGCTACATTTCCCCTCATACAGCGACATACAACCCACCGCGAAAGTTCCTGCGTCTACAGTACAGGCTAGTACGCCGGTGTCTGAATGCGATACCAGTAAACATGTCACGACTGGATAACGACTTTATATATCCGTCGTGACCCGAAACCAGCAGCACAGACCATACTAAAACAACTAGGACAGGCTACTAACTACATTGTACATTGTACAGCCGTGGGTTCTCCTGATCGTCACAAAATACGAACTCTACGATCCGTGTCAGACACCTGTTGCGATCACATGCACTGGCTTGGTGCTTAGAAATCTAAATTTTATTTACTCTCATTTTTCTTCAACATTTAGCCATTAGAATAGTAAGAACGCAGGACGACAGTGATGCATGTTTCCCCTTTATCACTGAAAAAGTGTAGTGAAAACTTCAGAAGCTTAATGAGTTTCTCGAGTCATAAACTCGGAGTCATCTATGAAATCTAGACGTGACAACATTCCCCGCAAAGCCGTGCCTACTGCCTGGGGTGAAATACCTACCCCCCTGCGTCTGTAATCTGTCTATAAACTCATATATATGCTACACGTTGCTGAAGCCATATTGAGAGGCCCAAATAGGTCTTTTGTCTATCTCCTAGTATGTTTCCATTGAGCCTCTATCTACTAGGCTTCAGGGGTGGCTGAAAAGAGCAGAAATGTGCCAAATTGACAGATGATATGTCAGGGGAGTTGGTCTGCTAAAGGCATACAGAGGGCGGCAAACTGTACTCTTTAGTGGACTAGCTAACCTGTCATGTTATCTGTCTGTTTGGTCAATTTCTACCTATTCCAGTCTCTTCTGAAGTCTGGTAGAGGCTACGTTCCATATTGTCATCACACACAAATTATAGTGAAGGACAACCAAGGAAGTTAAACAAGCCTCACCTCTTTGCCAGTATCAAGTCTGGCAGGTGTTTAGCGAACCGACTCCCGTGCCATGTTATCTAGCTGTCTAGTTGACCAATTTCTACTCTTTCTAGCCCCTTCTGAAGCCTGGTAGAGGTTAGAGTCTATTGGCATAGCACACAAACTACTGAATTATCATGAAAGTCCATCTGTGTTGGCAGTAATCATAGTAAAACAAGTGAAGACAACAAGTCTTACCTCTTTGCCAGGATCATGCTTACGGTGTCGAAGTCGGGCAGGTGCTTGGCGGACCGACTTCCCTGACGCATGACATGTCATGTCATTTGGCAAATTTCTACTCTTTCTAGCCGCTTTTGAATCCTGGTAGAGACTATGCTCCACATTCGCATCGTAAGTGAGGGAACAACAACAAAGCTTACCTCTTCGCCAGGATCATGCCTACGCGGTGTCGAAGTCTGGCTGGTGTTTGGCTGACCGGTTTCCCTAACATTTTATCTGTCATTTGGCAAATGTCTACTCGTTCTAGCCACTTCTGAAGCCTGGTAGAGGTTAGTTTCCATTGTCATCACACACAAACCAGTAGAGAAACCAAGAAGGTTCAATTTTAAACAAGCCTCACCTCTTCGCCAGGATCATGCCTACGGTGTCGAAGTCCGGCGCTGCGTGGGGACATGCCGGCGGAGCAGCTCCAAGTCCTGCCGCTTCAGCTCAGGTAACGTCGGCGCTCCCGGATCCATCTAAGCCTGGGTACCAAACCTTTGGTCGGCTTGGGGGTGATTTTCTAGCCTCCACCAGGCCTTTCTACAGGAATACGGATCGTAGAATTCGGCAGAAAAGAGAGAAAAATTGGCTAAGAGAGTCCGGCCGCGGGGAGGTAGTTCTTTCCCTAACTGCGCGGCCAGTCAAACCTAGTACCAGCGCCGAAGAGCTAGCAATGAGCTCACGGCGGTCTGGTTACTCCATCTTGGGCCATGCGAGTGTCTGCTCCTTTACTGAAGCGTCGCCTTGGTGGAAGATTATACACAAATCCAGCCTTTACACGCGAATCAGGGAATCTGCCACCGTGGCGTCGGCTTAACAAAAAAAAGCCTCTCGTTCTTTTCACAGCTTCGATTCTCACACATAAGGTGTGTTCTATGGGGGCCTGCATGCCCTTTTTCGTAAGGCGCAATCAGGCCTGTTTAGTCTTCGTAATCCGTAGGCAACCTCCCCCCGAAAAAGCAACGTAATTCGTAATAGAACATTAGCTGCAAAGCGTAAAGTCGTAATCAGCTCTGAGACTTAAATGTAATTGTCTTCTATCGGTTCCACGAATCCCCGTAACGCTACACCTGTCTGAACCACTGTGTTCAATGTTTGCTCAACAGGAGACCAGATACAGAAGACGGGCAGAGCTTTACGCTTTACAGCTCTCACTTTTCAACGTGTCATGTCATACCTGGACGGGTTCATTGTACACGCAGACCAATTCCCCCCGGCATGTTATCTGTCTATTTGGCGTCTATCTGAGTATTAACATACAGAAAAGGGCAGCACAACACTAAGTCATCCCTCGTCTATAACCGAGTCTTTCAACCTGAAACATGCCCGGAGGCTATCTATGGTAATGACTGGTGTGTGTAGTCACTCAGAAAAGAGTGAACCATACCTCATTTTGTTTCCTGAACACATTCTCTTCTCGCGAAAAGCTGTGAAAAGTTATATATCAAACAAATCCGTTGTTTTCGGTATTCTTAGATCTCACAAAAGACGTCTGCATAATGCTAGTAACGGATTAAAGAGCTTAAGCGCAACTTCTGTAACGATAAAAAGGGAGTCTTACACGCTTTTTGTCCTATTCACTACTTGTACGGAACTTGCCACATGTCACTACTGTTACATCGTTCAAAGCTTGCGCCGCGTACATACACGTAACATCAATAACAGATACAGTACAGGTACAGGGTTAGCCTCTACCAGGCTTCGGGGGCGGCTGGAAAGAGTAGAAATCGGCCTGATAGAGAGATAACATGCCAGGGGAGTGCGGCTGGGAGAGAACATTTTGCCATTGGTCTTCGGGTGCCGCTGTCTATTTCAAGCCGCCTCCCGAAGCCTGGTAGAGGGTACGATGGGTTTCGGTACTTGTCCGGACCTGTATCTGTACCTGAACAATTGTATGAAATAACCTGTGGTCTTCAATGATGACAGAAACATGAATAAACAGTCAACAGAGAATGTTTGTAGTACTTTATGCACATGTATTTTATGCCGAGAACCCATGCTTTGCAAAGGATTTTAATCAAAGGTGGTACTGATTTCATCGCACGTACAATATTTTAATATTTTTTCAGTGTTGAATTTTTATCTTCGTGGCAGGAATAAAACTGGAATGGATGGAATCTACCACGCCAGTCTTCGCCCGTGAAGGGGCGCCACCTGGCGACTTTATTTAGTTCTGCATGATCAACGCCTCAGCTTTGCCGTCCTGTCTTCTGGGGTCGACGTTCGACAATTTTGAAGAGAACACTGATCCATTCTGCTGCGCATGACGACTGTCACCATCACGAAGCCACCGGCATAGTCTTTATTTAAAACTACGAGTAATATCTATAGCCTAGGTAGTGGATATGGCCCAAACCCAGTCAAAACCCTGTCAATCAAAACCCAATCTCCGTCCACTCACTTTGGAACCCAAACATACAAACTTAGCGTGAATTAGCGCTACCCAAAACAATATTTCCGTCCGTAAGGATGAAAGAGACTATGGTGTAAAACACAGACCAAACGTCAGTTACATATTATAATTATGCCACACATCGAATCCAGAACTGCAACCCGTTCAATTCCATGCTTGAATGGGTTAGGGTTAGGATCAGGCATGGTACTAACGGTTCTGGATAGTCTCCACGTATCCTAGAACGTATATTTATCCCAGGCACGGTTCTGGATACGTGCGGACTATCCAGAGAGACCCATGCCTGAGCATGGTCCTGAATAAAGCACGGCTTGGGATATAAAAAACACATACCTCTCCGCAGGTTAGACAGTCTCGTCAGAGCTCCATACTCCGGCAGATCCTCCACAAAGACTCTTTTCCTACAGCAATGACTGTCCCCAGATAACCAGTCAACTCTTGTCAGCTTTTCTATCGGAAACACTCCGTCCAGTAAACTCCCACCTCCTCTCGGGTCTATCTTTAGCCTCACATGGAATCTTTGTAACTCTGCGTAGTTCGAATTCATCACTGAAGCAGCAGGCCTTGTCTTTTGGCCACTGAGTGCGTTCGTATATTGTCTTTTCGCTTTATTTTTCCTTCTCAAAAGAGTACGGAGGACGGATTTTACGATTTTGTTATTATTAGATTTACGTTTTCCTCGCACTAGATCGTCCTCTATACCAGAGTCCCTTCTCCGTGGAACGTGTCCTGATTTGTACGGCTTAACTGTTCCGGATTTTCTTCTGTCCGGATCCGGATTTGATTCCGGTTCCAGGTAGAACAATGATCCATCCGGACGCACGTGTTTCATCCAGTCCGACTGGAGGTTGCTGTAAGAGATCGTATAAAGATCAGTTTAAGTATCTTTTTCTTTTATTATTCCAACATGTAATCACAAGACGTGGTGACGACACACTCAAGTTTTTCAACTTATATCAACGCCGCCACCAACACAGGGGACAATACAATACTCATTTTCACCTGAGTGAAGTGTGGAAAGTCGTATAAAGTGCCTTTCCCAATGGCACAAGGTCGGTGGCATGTCAGGACTCGAACCCGGGACCTCTTGGTTCCGAGTCGAGCACTCTGCCGCTACGCCACACAACCCCACTATTGTGTAGTTTCAGAGGACCTTACGACATTCGCTGTTCGTTTGTTGTGTCAATTAATAAAGACTTTTTAATAGACGTAATTACTCGTATTTATGTCCAACACAGTCTAGTTTCAGACCAGGTCGGGACTGTTCCTCCTTTCACATGTACCCACCGAGTCTTAATTCGCCTGCAGAGAATCGCAACAAAATGTATACAAAACTCGACAGGAGGTCCGATCCTAATCCCCGGGGTACTTACACGGGAATCAAAGTAGATTAAGAGGATTAACGATTTCAGTGCAGTGATCAGTTTTATGAAGAACGACCCAGTCTCCAACAATGGCCTTTGGCTTTGTTGTATTGGTGATCATCACTTGTTACTAAGAGGAAGAAACATGCCACAGTAAACAGAGAGGTTTTTGTATTAAATAAATGAAACATCTGTTATGTTGCTACTCACTCAGAAGTTAACTTATGTATGTGACTCACAATCAAGTATGGTGCTGATTTAACCGCCCGTACTGTTTTCAATTTTATTTAATCGCTGAATTTTCATACATGTGGTAGGAATAACGAATAAATTAAACAGATGTATTTATGAAATAAAGACTGAGCTTTAACTTCAAACACTAGATACAGAATCGGGACTTACCCCAGATGTATTTAGATAGATGTATTTATATTAAGATCACACTGACTTTGTATGCATTGTATCCACACAAGCATCAATTTTCGCCCGTTTCAAAAAAATCGTTTAAAAAAGATGCCGAATTGCAAATGGTAAATTGGTAAATTGGTTAATTGCAATTGCAATTGGTAAATTGCAATTGGTAAATTGCATTAAAAACACCGGAAGAAAAAAGTTAAAGAAAAGAAAGCCCGATAAAACGCACCCAGATCTACATCATAGGTAATTACAATCGAGTGGGAAGGGGATTTAACCACTTCTTTCTGATCTTTTGTCCAAAACTACATGTAGATTCGTGTTACTGTCGATTAATTAAACATACTTAGCCACGTCTGATAGGGATTAATGTATTTGTTTAGTGTAATTGGAGCATCTTTTCGTTGTTTTATAACTAACAGGTGGATACAATTATCTTCACGGGCCGGACTCCCTTGGCCAATTTTACTCTCCCTTTTGCCGAATTCTACGATCCGTGTTCCCTTAGAAAGGCCTGGTGGAGGTTTTTTATCCGAAACATGCAATCACAAGACGTGGTGACAGCACACTCAAGTTTTTTCAACTTATATTCGGTGCATGTCAGGATTCACTCTGGTTCCGAGTCGAGAACGCTGCCGCTACGCCACACGACCTGGAGGTTACGAGATACCGATGATTTGTAGATATTCGCGGTACCAATATTGTGAGAGCTTCTCCGTCCGTGTCTGACTTAGCTGGAAAAATGTAGAATTGGCAGCGTTCAGGACTCTAATCTCCAAGCAGATCCCTCTCGGTGGCAAAAAGACAGTATCAAATTGGCCAGGCAGTATCCATTAGCAAGAGAAGCTCCGCGGCCACCGACGGGACAAAAAACGGCCATATATAAAAATGTAACGATCATTCCCACACAACCTCTGCTTGGATAGTAGAAGGACTCAAGGACAGGTCTGTAAATCTACAACGGAAGACGGGATAAATCATTTCCAAGAAGGGCTTTTGGTGGTATCAAATTGGCGAGGCAGTATCTAATACGCTACCGTTTGGCTGAATGCCGGTACTTCTACAAAAAAGAAAGCTCGATTAAAAGGCCATAAAACACGTCAAAAATAGGCCGAAGTCTATAATTAGTATAAACTTTTGCTTGGAGAGTAAGGAAAAGATAGCCTATCCTTCGAATTTTATTTTACGGCGCTGTCACATTCGTTGTGGTACTACCCAAGC